AACATATATATATATATATAATGTATAATAGTTGAAATGTGACTGTATTTTACAAAATACTAGTCCACTAAAATATAGCCAAGCTAGGTCACTTTGTAAAGACTAAAGGTCAGTTATATATTATTGGATACAGCAACACGAGTGCACATGCGCCGCATCATTGTAACTTCTGTATTGTTAGCCAGGCATGGCCGGAAGGTCAATATTATAAAAATGATAAATATATATAAATGTATAACGTTATGAGATTTAAGCTATTTAAACCAAAACTTTGTGTTTTCGTGTTATAATCTGTAGTCGTTCTAGAATGAAAAAAGCATAATTTATATTTTTCCTAATTTTTTATTGAGGTTACAAAGTCTGTCATATACTAACCTGTACAGAAGTACACTAGTGAAAATAACAAATAAAATATAATTTTTTATAAAAAAAATTTTTTGATTACATGGAGATTATAAAGATTTCACATTTGAAATCATAAAATGTTCTAATGTATAAAAGTATTTTTAATCTTAAAATCAAAATTGCTTTGCATGTTGAATAGCCAACATTCTAAAAGAAAAAGGTTTATGAGAAAATCTTTAATTAAAAAATCTTAATACTTAATTTAAAAACCTGATATTTTGTGTACGAAAATCTTCTAATGTTTACCAATAACCTGCAGAATTTTGTAAAGATGTTTATACATTATAAAAAATCATAGTATAATAACTCTTATGAATACTTTTGTGGTTACAAGCTGGGTGGATTTCACCCAGCCTGTAATGGAAGGGTTAGTTTAGAATATGGTAATGGATTTGCAGTGTTTGAAATCATTATTTTGTTTTCCCTGTCAAAAGAAGTGTAAAATTGCTTATTAACTATGAGATTCAGCCAGCAGTAAAGAAATTTATGTCGCAGTTTTGTTTCAAAACTGCTCAAACACACCTTACTTTCAGTAGAAGTTCTACATAATTTTGTATTTATCAATAAAATAACTTCAATAATTAAATATTTACTATATTTATAAAATTTTTGAATATTAGGCTTAAACTAACTTGGATGTATGTGATTGAAGTTTCAAATGTAATTCAGTGTGTAACGTGTCTTAAATGTAGTAATTTATTACAATATATATATAAATATATATTATATACTACCTTTACAAAGATTCCAGTGTAGTCAATTTTTCAAGCTACATATTACTATTAACAGGGTGCATATGAATCCTTGAAAGTTCTTGAAAAGGGGCCTTTTTTTTGCAAAAGTACTTGAAAACATTATAATACTGGAATATATCAATATATATGTTGTGGAGTTGAGCATAATAGTCTTTCTTTTCTTTTTAGTCTACATTCATATGATAAACAAATATATATATGAATTTTACAAAATTTCAATGGAATCTAGTTGATTTTGATGTTGATTTTAGCTTCCAAAAAGTGCTTGAAAAACATTCTGAGAGTGCTTAAAAAAGTCCTTTAAAATGCTTGAAATTGATCTCAGCATTTTAGTATGAAACATGTATTAAATTTTACATTTTTTAGAAGTATTGGAGACTTTAAAACATGGCACAAGTAGTGCTTTTAACAGACTTGTGACATTTGAATAATCTTGAAATTGACAAAAACTATATTAATTAAAAAACAGCATAGTATTCTCATAAAATAATTTAAATAATCTAATTGTAACAAATGAGCTATTATTATTATTATTCATTTATTTTGAAAGAAACCTCTGAAACAAAGTTGAAAATACATTTTGTTATTTTTCATTTTTGTTAGTCTAAGTGAATAATAGTATGATTGTTTCTATCTGTGATTGTTAAATTGTTCTATATAGTAAAGTTTTAATATTAAGATGCCTAACACTAGTTAGGTTTGTTTTAATAAATGTCTGAAATAAAATTATTTCATTAAAACATGTTGATTAGCATTTTCACCTGGAGATTTACCAATTATAACTTATTCTGATACAGTACCTTACCTTTTCTTATATAAAAGCTTTTTTTGATTTGTGTTGCTCTCTGTATGTACAATTTTTACTCACTACTAAATTCAGTGGTATTGCTGTACTGTAACATGCAACAACCCTCCACCAATAGAAGTGTGACACATCCTCCTAGCACAGCTAACTCCTTCTATACTGAAGTGTACAGTCATCACTGCTTGATTTAGCACTCCCTTGTGCAGACGTGTAAAGTTTTACTTCTTCTTCCAGTGATTGATACTTCACTTTTTGACAACATATTTTCTGTTGTTTTTACATAGTTTGTGGAAAGTTTTTGATTATTTTTCTTTTCCACATTATGAACTCACGAGTTCCTGTAACTGCTACTTCATCTGATATGGATCCACAAGATTTTGATCCTGCTAGACATATTACTACTCTGACATTGGGCTCTGCTTTTTATGATGAGGAAGTGTTGGCCTTAGTACATCAGGAGTTGGAGTCTTACATGCAGCATGGTATGTCTCCTGACTTAGGGACTGATATTCCTTTCCCTGGGGAACCTGTTCAAGAGGACGATGATTTTTATTCCCCCTGCTTTTGCTGTTGCTATTGATCTACTTCATCTTCCTGGATATAGTGTTCAGGTTTGTTACCTTTTGCCACTTTCTCCTATGTGTTTTGATCCTTCCCTTCCTTGCTCCATTCAGATCTGGCTACTGATTATTTTGTTCCCCCCCCCCCTTTCCTCAGTTATTCATGTCCATGCTGATCACGTTCATGCTAATGCCAGTAAGCCTTCCTCCTTGTTTGGTGAACAAACATGCTTTGGGCTACCATAGATCTAAGTTTCCTTTTCTTAACTCTCAGACTCTGGAGAAACTTATTCAGGCTTGGGGATCCGATCCTTCCTCTCCCTTTGCCTTTTTCCAAACCAATTCTCATGTCTTTGTCTTACCCTTACTACTCTCCTTCATTATCTCTTGTCTATCCACCTACTCCCTGAGGCTATTCATCGTCGCCCTAAGGGGTTTTTGGTGGATACACGTTCTCTAATATTTTCTACATTAACGCATTTGTCCTCTTTGACTTTGTCACCATATGTGATTGCTTTGTTGTTAGGACATCTTATGCAAGGCTACACTCCTTTCTCAAGTGCATTTGCTAGCTTCACATCTAAGAAACCTTTTTCTGGATCCTTTTCTTTGCCATTCTGCTTTTGAGGGTGTCCCTGATTTGTTAGAATCTCATGTTAAAGCTGCATGTCAACTCCCCTCCATTTTTTCTTTGGTTTCTTGGCTTTTGCAGTCCTCCTCTTCTCCTATTCCTTTCCTCTCCTTTTCCCACCTTCCCATGTT